AAGTATTTTGTTATATGATTTAAGAAAATCGATATAATATTTTTATATGTTATTATTTGATTTTTTATTTTTAAAGATAATTTTGGTAATGAGCAGTATTGTTTACATTTTTCTAATAAGACGGCTTCTGTAGTACGAGCACAGCAACAAGGATTTCTGGCATACATGTGTATTTTATAAAAACATTTTTACGTCACAAGGTACATAATGCATTAATGTCCCAATATTTAACATATATATACATTTATACATTTGTACTTATGCATTAATCCCTTGCTTTACTTTTCTGCATTGTAGCTTTAGACTTGATAAAATTGTCAATAAAGATATTTGCATATTTACGAAGAAGAACAATTGTGACAAAGTGCCATGCCTCCAAAAGTAGAAACTTGGTCGAGTGAAAAAGAAAATATATTAATATTTGAAGTTGAGAGATGGCCCATGTTATGGGATGCGCGGTGTGCAACTTATAAAAGGACTGATTTAAAATATAATCAGTGGCATGAAATAGCTCTAATATTAGGATCATCTTTTAGTGATAAGACCATTTAAACATTTATATTTTATTTTATTTATTGATTTGTAAAGTTATATTTAATGACATTTATATGTATGTATTTCTATATATATCTAGGATGGCCCAAATTTACTGTGATACCTGTTAATGGTATATTTCTGAGATTCATAAAAATCGTAATGAAACAATATCGAAGTTACAACAGTTTTAAATGAAAAAAGCTTAAAGTTGATTAATGAAACTGTCCTGAATTTGTGCGCTCAGGCATGGCATAGCACTGAAAGTGTTTTGAAATATTAATATTTTAAATACAATTTTGCATATACCTTTATTAATATGTGATATGCCATACCTGAACGTGCGAACTCTGTTTGATGAAACTTTTCTCATTTAAAAACTATTGTAACCTTGATATGTTAATATTAGTATTTTCGTCTGAAAATGCTGTCAGGAATCTACCGTTAACTGGTGTCATTGTAAGTTTTGGACACCCTGTACATATTATATTGAAAGTATGCAAAGTAGAAACTGTTGACTCTCTCTTGTATAATTATTTGAAATATTGTAATAAAATGAAGTATATAATTTTACGTTTGGTTATTAACATATTTTTATATTTTTCAGCTGATATGGTACAACAGCGTTTTATTAGTATGAGGCAAACTTTTATGACAAATCTTCGAAGAGAACGTGAATCAAAGAAAAGATGTAGTGGAAAAAGTCCTGAAGAAATATATAAACCTAAATGGGTTCTGTATGATAGGTTAAAATTCCTAATAAAATCATATGTCCAAGCAGAAAGTTTGTCTAATTTACGAACTTCTGGAAATACTTCATATTCTGATAAAACAGAATCTTTAACAAATGATAATACTACTGAAGCAACAGAATCTTCGGACAATGAAGTTGAATATCTAGAGAGCGAATTTGATACAACACAATTTAATTTACATAACACACAGGTGAGGGTTTATTAAATCTCGACGAAATTTAATAAAACATTTCGTAATTGCTAATTCTTTCTTCATATAATAAAATGTACACATTTTTTAATTAATAAATTATATCATTAATGAGAAATATGATTTTTTATATTTACAAAATTTATTTACATGTAAGTACTTTTTGAAATTATTTATAGCTTACTGCTATACATTATATTTGATTTTAGCAATGGCAGACGAGCTCTGCTAATACTTTGAAAAGGGAAATGTACTGCCGTTCAGATGAAACATCTTGCTCTAATAAAAGTGATTTATCAAAAGCTTCGTCTTCGTCTCATCATGATTCTCAATTAGATTTTCTATCTAGTTCATCAACAGCAAATTTGGCTGTACATTCATCTGCTAGCAAGAAACAAACTTCGAATGACAAAGTAAACATGTATATAAAAAGAGGATCGCCTACAAAAAGAAAGGGATCAATAGTAGAAGAGGCAATCGGAGCAATTAAATTGCTAAGTGAACAAACATCTGAAAATGATTCAGCAGAACATTTTAGAGTCCTTGTAGCATCCAGATTACGAGAAATGTGTCCTGAAATTCGTAAACAATGTGAACAGGACATAATGAAATGTCTTGTGAATCATTAATATTTTTATTTATATTAATTTTGACATTTAGGTATCAAATTTTAGCTTTAAAAACAAATATTTTTGATTACCAAAGTATATTCCATTATATGATACAAAACATTGTGATATAAATAAGTTAACATTTTAACATTTAACATTTTTAACATTTTTAATATTGTTAACATTTTTTTTCTGAGATAAAAAATAAAAGTTATTTGGGGTGGGGCGTTAAAATGGGGCATTAAAACCCTTATATAATACGAAAAATATCCTTAATACATATTTTTATTTATATTAATATATTTTGATATAAAGATATTAAATTTCAATTTTTTAAATAGATAAACTGTAATTTTTAGTTATACTGCATTATACTATGTGATATAAATAAGTTTTGGTTTACAGATAAGTGTTATATATGTGTAATACGGCAAGTTGTGATATAAAAAGTTTTACTTCATACATGAATATTATATGTGATATAAAAAGAGATGACGTCACCAATTTCAATTAATAGAATATATATACCCACTAAGCAAGAAACATTTCAATAATGTTTTGAAATGTTTCAGTAACGTTACAATGTTGC